CGGGTTGAGAGTTAGGGCCAGGGTTTGTGTTAAAGTCGGGTTTATAAGCTTCAAGCCTGAGGCCTAGAGCCTAAAGCCTGAAGCCTCAAGAAGCCTAAAGCCTAAAGCCTAAAGCCTAAAGCCTCAAGCCTAAACCCTAAACCCAACCCTCCCACCTTGGCAAAGGCTTTGGCCCTATCAAGCCGCACTTTCGGGCCGGACTTGCTTGTCCAGTTCTGGCGAGGCTCGAACAGAACAATGCTCGCAGTATTACCCTAAACCCTAAACCCTAAACCCTAAACCCTAAAGCCTAAAGCCTAAAGCCTAAAGCCTCAAGCCTCAAGCCTAAAGCCTCAAGCCTAAAGCCTAAACCTCTATTACATGTATAATGTAAATGTTGGGGAGTTACCGGGCAAGGTCGTATTTTTACTGGGCAAAGTCGTTTGGTCCAAAAAACGACCTTGTGCCCAGAAAAAATATGACCGTCAGGCCCCGAAGGGCATGTTTTTACTGGGCAAGGTCATATTCTTACTGGGCAAGGAAATGTTTTTACTGGGCAAGGTTATGTTTTTGCTGGGCAAGGTTATTTTTTCTGGGCAAGGATATATTTTTTTCTGGGCAAGGTCGTTCGGTCCAAAAAACGACCTTGTGCCCAGTAAAAATATAACCTTCGGGCGCCGAAGGTCATACTTTTGCTGGGCGCCCACCCCGCCGAGTAAGAATATGCCCAGTAAGAATATGACCTTCGGGCCCCAAAGGACATATTTTACTGGGCGCCCACCCCGCCCAGTAAAAATATTTTAATGGGCTCTGGGCTGGCTTTAGGGCTCAGGGCCTACTCTGTTTTTGGGCTTTAGGGCCTTAATGCTTTAGGGTTTAGGGCCCACCCTGGGCTGGCACGCCCCGGGACAAATGTCCCGCGGGTCTTGGTGGCTCTTTCTGCCCCATTCTTATCCGTAACAAATCCTACTCCCGGGTCTTGGTGGCTGCATTGGTGGCTCTTTCTGGCGCACTCTTATCCGTAACAAATCGTACTCCCGGGTCTTGGTGTCTTGGTGGCTCTTTCTGGCCCACTCTTATCCATAAGAAATCGTACTCCCGGGTCTTAGTGGCTCTTTCCAGCCGACTCTTATCCGTAACAAATCATACTCCCGGGTCTTGGTGGCTCTTTCTGGCCAATTCTTATCCATACCAATCGTACTCCCGCATCTTTGTGGCTTTTGCTGGCCCACTCTTATCCGTAACAAATCGTACTCCCGGGTCTTGGTGGCTCTTTCGGGAAGCTCCGTGACAACCTGTCCCGGGGACCCGGGAATTCAAATTTAGACCCTAGATAGTGGCACACCAGGCAAATTTGACCTTTTATCCTGGGGCACTAAGCCCACTCTATGATGGGCTTCAGAATTTTATCTATCTTGTCGCCTGAAAATAAGAATGTAAAAGCTGTAAGAAAATATTTCCGAATGTTGTGGGGTTCTTTGGGCGGGTGGGTATTTTCCAACGCTCGAGTAATTGCTTAACTAGTGAATGCTTGAACTTGAGATGCTGAACCCTAAACCCTAAACCGAAAGGCCGAGGGCTCTGAGATCGGGAGCTTTTCTGCTGACGGGCTCGAGAGCGGCTGCTTTGGCGAAAGCTTTGGGGAATTGCTGTCTGCAACACAGAACTCGGAACTTACGAAAAACCCTGAACCCTAAACCCTCAACCCTAAACCTTAAAGAAACCTGCATACCCTCAAGCCAAAGATAATTACAATGGTTGAGGTCACTTTCCATCTGTTCAGAGTACACATGCTCTTCCTTTGGCAGAGGAAAGTCTGGTACATTGGAAGATCTCGGCCGCTACTTTCCCTGTTTTGCAGGGAGCAGAGAATTCTGCATGCAAGGCGCAGAACATGGCACTCTTCTCATACCTACAGAGTGCTCTAAAACAGCATCCTGTATGGAGTCTTGGCGAGAACCACAAAAGACACGACTCGTTTCGCTTCCTGGAAAAAGACACGCGAATCCCCAAAGACCAGTACAGGCTTAGTCTGTCAACGCCCCAAGCTCTCTCTTTCCCTCTCTCCCATCTTTCTCTCTGTAGGTATATGCAAAGGTTCTGCAAAAATGTCATACTTTTGTATTCTTATGCACATATGCAATATCTCTATATATATATATATATGTGTGTGTGTGTAATCACACACACAGACATATATATATATATATATATATATATATATGTATATGTATGCATATGTTTATCACATGGCTTTGCATGGTAGTTCTTGTTTGTGAACATCGCGGAATGTGGCTTCTGCTTCAATCTCCATTTCCCGAGAAAAACACCTCCGGTATGTGTAGCATACATGTGCATGGTGCACGAATTCGCAGAGGCAGGAAGATGTTCAGCTAGACTCACGATGGGCATCAAAGCTTAATGATAAGTTGCTGACAGAAATAGAAAGCCCTTCTTTCAGTGCACAGGGCACACTACACAGGAGATTCGGTCAACTCAAAAGGGTCGTGAGTCTAAGCCGAAGGCCGAGATGATCCTAGAGAAGCTGCGACCGTGCGGCAGGGATCATGTTCTGGGCCAGGATACCAGGGAGGGCCTCACGAACACTCGTCAACCGCGCACTGCCCTGTCATGACTTACTGTTAGTAGGGAATGGGGGAACGAGGTACCCTATATAATCCTTAAAGGGCATATATAGGGCCCTAATTCCCTCATTCCCAGCTAACGCAAAATGAAGGCTCAACAGGAAGAGCGCACGAACCAAAAGCCACAAACCCTGCGCCTTCGTGGCAGCCCTCTGGTCCAAAACCACCACCTGTTGAGGAGAGGATGGGAAGCAGCTTCTCTGAAGTAAGGCTTAGGGTTTAGGGTTTAGGGTTTAGGGTTTAGGGTTTAGGGTCTAGGGTTTAGGGTCTAGGGTTTAGGGTTTAGGGTTTAGGGTTTAAGGCTTATAGCTTTAGGGTTGAGGGCTCAGGGCAAATAGGGTTGAAGGTTTTGGGCTTCGTGTGTTGGGTCTTTGGGCGAACAAAAACCCTAAACCACACCTACCTGGCAGCAGGCAAGCAACAGCCACAGAAAGGCGACGGTGAACTGGTTTAGGGTTTAGGGTTTAGGGTTAAGGTTTTAGGGTTTGGGGTTCAACTTCAGCGAGTCATGCTCGGAGCCCTAAGGCAATGCCCCGAAGACGTTCCCTGAATAATCTCCTCGTTTGGCCCTTATATTCCTTTAGAGGATCTTATGCAAGGGTCCCCAAACCCTAAACCCCAAACCCCAAACCCCAAACCCCAAAATCCTAAACCCTAAACCCTAAACCCTAAACCCTAAACCCTAAACCCTAAACCCTAAACCCTAAACCCTAAACCCTAAACCCCAAACCGAGGGGTACAACCCTAGGGTCCAAGACAGAGCCCCATGATCAACAGACTGCCTCAATGCCAAGCCTTAGTTGCGTCCTTCAACTCTTTGCTTAGGCTATAGGGTTTAGGGTTTAGGGTTTAGGGTATAGGGTATAGGGTATAGGGCTTAGGGTTTAGGGTTTAGGGTTTAGGGTTTTTTCAGTTTAGAGTTTAGGGTTTCGGCAACCTGCACCCCTCCCCACACTCCTCACCCCTCCCTACTCCCCCCGTTCACCTCCTTGCTTCGGCAGACGAACTTCTGATACTTCTCCTGTGTGCTTTGGGGCTTGGATTTTTAGGGTTTAGGGTTTAGGGTATAGGGTTTAGGGTTTAGGGTTCAGGCTTAGGGCATTCCCACAACCTTTAAACTCTAGACCCTTAACCTCCAAGGGGTTAAGGGGCTTGGGAGTTCGGCACGCTTGGGGTGTACCGTCAGGAACCATGGGGCTCTCAGAGGCTCAGTAGCAAGCTGAGTGAGCTGGGATGTTTCTCTGAATTCACCGAGAACAAAGCCCGTTTTGGGGTTAAGTAGGGTTTATGGTTTCGGTCCAGGGAATTCAGGGGGGGTTTGGGGCCTGGTGAGTTAGACTGAAGGGCGTTCTCACCAAAATCTCCGTGCTCACAGGAACGGAAAGCCTCCAAAAGACAGGGAGAGCTGGAACAAACCTGCGGGACCACCCTAAACCCTAAACCCTAAACCCTAAACCCTAAACCCTTGTCTGGTTCCACAACCTGTGAGTAAACCCCTAAGCCCTAAACCAGTCTCGACCGCATGAGGTGCCCGACCCCGTCTGCGGCGCGGGGAGCTCCAAAAGCTTATAAGGGTTTAGGGTTTAGGGTTTGGGTTTTAGGGTTTCCTTTCTGTAGGGTTTAGGGTATATCCCTCACAGTCCTGACTGCTGCTGTCCAGCATCTCCGCCAGATGACTAAGGTTTCGAACCTGCCAGGGTTTGGGGTTCACGTCTGGTGTGAAGCTCTGGGCGCTGAAACTGGGTCACAGGGAAAACCAGTTTAGGGTTTAGGGTTTAAAGTTTAGGGGTTAGGATTTAGGCGCCTAGTGGTTTAGGTGATAGGGTTGTTTAGGCTTCAGGCGGACGGGAGGCTTGAGAAAGCATGGTGGTGCCAGGTACTTCCGCCATTTTGAACCGAGAACATGAGATCACGAAATTAAAGGATCCTAAACTGACAAAAAAACGAACCCTCAACCGCAACCCCAAAACCCTACATGCCCTATAGACCGAACAAAGCCCTATAATGAACCCCAGCGAAAAGACTTACAACCCTGGAAATATTGGGCAAGAAAGTTGCGGACGAAGGCGCGAAAACATACAGCGAGAAGAGTCAATATACGTGAGGCTGCGCGGCCACCACGTTTCAGCCACCATGCCCTTATACACTCACCGTTAAAACCGAAAAGCCGAAACCACCTGGAACCGAACCGGATGCTTGCCCAAAACACCGCAGGCGGGCTTCTACTTGATGTTGTCGGCCATCTGCAAGAAAACGAAACTCGATCGAAATGGTGCTTTGTGTTACATGAAACTTCTGACTGTCATTCATTTCGCCTTCGAAGAGTGGTTCGAGCTGGCCCTTTCGCGCAGCTCGGAACCCGTCGGGCTCACTCAATCACGTCGGGCGCCAGTCGGCGGACAAGTAGCCCCCTGTCGAACCGCGACAGTCGTCCTCGGTCTTACATCCGCATACCTTCTTGTCGAAGGTGCCAGAGCTGGTCGTGATACCATAGCGATCCACGAAATCGTCAAAGCTGCCCAGCATGTCACCATAGGGTCCTTGCCAACACTCGTGGAAGACATCCTCAAACCCCTTGCTCTTGCTCTTGTCAGGCATGCTTTGTTGCCAGGCTTTCTTCTTGCTGAAGGCAAAATACTTCAAGACTGTCCGAGTGCTCCATTCATGCCACTGCCCTGACTTGGCCTGTGTGCACATGTCTTCCATACACATGTCCTGCACAATCGGCACCGTATCGTTCCAAAGTTGGTCTCCCGTCTTAACATCGCAGTACCTGGATATGGGGGTTTCCGATATTCGGGGGTACCTTATGGGGGGGGGGGGGGGGTCCTTTCTTATAGGGGAATCCTACTATTTGGGGGGTCGGTCTATTCTAGGGGCCCCCTATTTTCGTAGACCCCTATAATGAAAGCACTTGAGAAAACCCCAGCATCACCAAGTTGTGAACACCGTCCGTCATTGGGATGGTCATGGATGTCCCGTCATCGGGGTTGATCATGGTTGATGATCTTGGCCACACATCGACTAACCATAGTGAGGGGCTTCCATACATGGAGGTACCGCCAACATGATGGTCCATGACCCTAACCCTAAACCCTAAACCCTAAACCCTAAACCCTAAACCCTAAACCCTAAACCCTAAACCCTAAACCCTAAACCCTAAACCCTAAACCCTAAACCCTAAACCCTAAACCCCTTCTTGACCGTCCCCACCTCGGTGTTCGAGTATCTTTGACGTAGAGCGTGCACTTCCCTCCGGACAGTCGAGGTGCCAAGAACCTGACTGTTGGTAGGGAATGGGAGAATGAGGCACCCTATAGTATATAGGGTTTAGGGTTTAGGGTTTTATATAGTCCCTTAAAGTGTATAATATAGGGCCCTATTTCCGCTCATTCCCTGCTAACCATCAGCAAGGAACTCGTATCGTTGTGGGAGGTTCCAGGGAGTCCTTGTCCAATGTAGAAACTTCTCGAAGAATGGGAAGAAGCCGACATACTTCTCGCAGTTTTCCGGCTCCATATTGGTGATCTCATAGCGGAAGTAGCTCCAAGTAGCCGTGCTATCTCCTCCAAAATCCCAAAGCTGCTTCACGGTGTAGTTGCTTGGAAGCAAATGCCTAGGGTTTAGGGTTTAGGGTTTAGGGTTTAGGGTAGGACGCACAAGTTGAACTAGGTCTGAAACATTGTTGAATCACAACAAAGTCTGAAGGTGTTGAACCCAAGCCTGCCTCCCAGAGCAGTTCATGGGCTCGTATGTTTCCTTGACGGGGTCCAGATCGGCATTCTGGACGCGAACGGCGCCAGCGGCTGCAAGGGCGCTGAACGCAAGCAGCATGGTGACCATGGTCGCAAGTCGCACATGAAATGAAGTCGTTCACCGACAAACAGACTAGCTGCTCCTCAGAGCTCGAGACAGCGCCGGTTTCCGCAAAACATTTCGGAAGTGCAATGCACGAGTCGGCTTGAATGGTAAACCCTAAACCCTACAAGCGTAAACCAAGCTTTTCGGCATTACATGTGGATTGCCCCACCTTCTGGCCGTTGAACGACTCCAAGACCTGGAGCAAGATGAGAGCTCGAAGACGTTTGTACGGAAATTATACAGGGATACTATTGCAAATTATTTTGGCTCCTGGACTACTCTACGTGCTAGGGTTAGGGTTTCACGGTTCTGGTGTTTCTGGCTTGGGGTTCGAGCCAACACAAGTCACAAAGGAACGGCAAAAAAGCTACCTCTTCAGGAGGGTTTAGGGTTTAGGGGTTGAGGGGTTTAGGGTTTAGGGTTTAGGGTGGGTTTCCCGTGCCTTGTTCTCCAGGTCGCTGTATCCCACCTTACTTGGGGGCCGCTCAGCAAGGCTGAGAACGAAACCTTGAACCCTAAACCTACCTTTAAAGATTAGGGTTTAGAAGAGAACAGTTCGCTCACTTGTACTTGAATTGGTGCGTCATCGTATTCCTTGCAATACAACTCAAATTGCTCACTTCGTTCTTATCTTTGTTAAGGTTTTGTGGTGCGCCCAAGAAGAAGAAAATGAGGCCGTCATTATATGCAGAACCATTAGAAGAAGGATAATGTGCCCTCGAAAGATATTGTATTTGCGCGTGTCCATTATTAATTTGAAAAATGTTCAGAGTAGTAACCTTTGGGCCTTGAAACAAAAACCTTCAAACATGTGCCCGTAGAGCCTTAGACCCAAACCCGAAACCCTCAACCCTAAACCCTATAAAACCCTAAAAACCCTAAACCCTGAAAAGATGACCTCTGAATCTGCAAGGCAGGCGGCCGTTACTTCGCTGGCCAAGACCTCTTTGCTGTTGAGGCCAAGCATTAGACCCGGACCCTGAAAATCGTGTTTTCATTCTTGATTTCTCTGGTGTCCCTAAACCCTAAACCCAAAACCCTAAAACCCTACTCCTACATGCTTGTGCCTTCGAGGGGGCTTGCCATTTAGCAGCGTTTAGGGGCCCAAGTACTACTAAGCCCTAAACCCTAAACCCTAACCCCTAAACACCCTATACACCCTAAACCCTAACCCCGTACGTGAACCCTTAGATTTGGACTCGGACATGGCATTGACGCGTGGTTCAGGATGTTTTAGGGTTTAGGGTTTAGGGTTAAGGGTTTAGCGTTTAGGGTTTAGGGTATACGTGAAAAAACAAGCGAAAAACCAAGCTCCAAGCAAATCGAACCCCGTGTCTGATGCCCAAACGACGCAGGCACTTTTTGGGCGTGGGGTTTGGGAGCATCAACCGGAAACCCGGAAGCCTCAACCCTAGTAGCGATTCGGGTCAACATCATGGCAGGAATCCTTGCATCCTACTACTTTGCTCCGACCACATAGTTGTCCAAGTTTGAAAGGGGATTCAGGTCCTTGACAAAGGCTGCAAACCCTAAACCCTAAACCCTAATCCCTAATCCCTCAACCCTAATTCAACTATTTCATAAGGAATTCGCTTGGGAGTTTACGAAAACAAGGGACCCCCAATATAGATCCCCAAATAAGAGGATCCCCTGAAAAAAAGAGACCCCGGAAAGGTACCCATTATCGTAAGCCCCTAAACCCGAAACCCGCAACCCTAAACCCTAAACCCTAAACCCTAAACCCTGGCCCTCCCCTGGCCTGCGTAAGGATTACCGGCTCTTGATCCGCTTCCCTTGGCAGACTCAGAAGGTTTGGTCAGGGGTCTGCTTACCTCCCCTTTGGGCTTAGGAGTTTGGGGTTTAGGAGCTTACGGTTTAGGGTTTGGGGTTTAGGGTTTAGGGTTTAGGGTTTAGAAGGTTTAGGGTTTAGAAGGTTTAGGGTTTACCTAGAAGTTTAAGCTTTTGGAGTTGCAGCAAACTGCAGGAAGAGGCCTAAAGTGCAGAACCCAGAAGCCTGAAGGTCTCCTACTCAACGACTGAAGCCTTGTTTAGGGTTCAGGGTTTAGGGCCTCCCCCAAAACAAGCCTAAATCCCCCCCACAGCCATCCCAAACATCACCAGTCAAAAACCTACCTTCCGTAAAGCCTGTACCTTAAGAATTTATACAGCATAGCATATGGGCGTCTACGAAAATAAGGAATCCCAAATATAGTACCCCGAATTCCGGAAATCCCCATACGGTCCTCCCCCTAACCCGTGAACCCTAAACCCGAGGCCCTAAAACCCTTATCTGCCCACCCCTGTAATGTCTAAGGCTACCTAAACCCTAAACCCTAAACCCTAAACCCTAAACCCTAAACCCTAAACCCTAAACCCTAAACCCTAAATATGCCGTAAACCCAAGATATGGTCAAGGGCATAAAGGGCAGACTCCAAGGCCGATGGCTCTCGGGTGCCGTTCTCCAGCATGTAGAGCAACCTCTGAGACCGATTCAGAAGATTTGCAGGGGGAAAGGCGGTGTTAGCTCAGGGTTTAGGGTTTAGGGTTTAGGGTTTGGGGTTTAGGGCTTGAAGTTTGGAAATTTCATGCTCAGAAAGCCGACCCCTCCGACTCGTGCCCAGCATGTGAAATCAAATGCTGACAGGGAGCTCAGCCGTCATCTCCGACGGCCGCTTGTCGGCATAGTCCTGGTTGAGGGCTTTATAGGGTTTAGGGTTTAGGATTTAGGGTTTAGGGTTTAGGGGCTAGGGTTTAGGGTTTAGGGTTTAGGGTTTAGGGTTTGAGGCTTTAAGGGCTTCAAGGGCCGAAGAGGTTCTTAGGGGTTTATGGGCTTTAGGGCATTAAGGATGCTTGAGAGGTTCATGGGTTTAGGGTTTAGGGTTTAGGGTTGAGGGTTTAGGGTTGAGGGTTTAGGGTTTAGGGTGTGTGTGTGCACTCTTCCGCACCGAGGGTGCAGGTTGGCTCCCTGAACCAAGAAGCGGCCGATAGCATGTAAGGTAGGAATTGAAGGCAGTGGCCCCCGCACACCTGGTTTATGGTTTAGGGTTTAGGGTTTAGGATTTAGGGTTCAGGGGTCCAAGGTCTAGCCTCTCAAGGCTGTGTGAGGGGGCCAGGCACGGGAGTTCGAACCGAAATCACCGGGGTTTAGGGCTTGGGCTTAGGGCTTAGGGCTTAGGGTCTGGGGCTTGGGGTTTAGGGTTTGGGACTTCGGGATTAGGGCTTAGGGTTTAAGGTTTAGGGTTTAGGGTATACAAATCGCCGGAAGACCCTAAGCACTGAAAACCCTATAGCCCATAACGCCAAACCCACAAAGCTGTACACCCCCTGAGCACCTTGAACCCAAAACACCTAGTTACTCTCCATGTAGGCCCCTATATCTTTGAACCATGTTCCCGAATGAACCCCAAACCCTTAAACAACACCCCAAAGACATGTAAGCCCAAAAGCCCAGTCATATCTCTAACGGCAAAGAAAGCAAGCACCCAGGCCCTGAACTGCAAACCCGGCCGACGGCCCGAAATTCCACAACTTCAAACTCTTTATTTCGTATCTCCGTCCTCTCCGAATGCGTCTTCCATAAACGGCTTGGTCAATGGTACGAAGACAAGCCCTGCGCGCCCGAGCTCAGGGGGTTGGGTATAGGGTTTAGGGTTGAGGGCTCAGGCTTTAGGATTTGCAGGAGCTAGGGGTGTTTTGGCCAGGGATACTAGGTGGGCGTCATGTCCCGCTGTTACAGTACGTGGCTGGAAAATTCGTGACCGCCATTCCGGTCATGGTGACCATGAACTCTTTAGCTTGGCAGTAGCATCCTCAAATACAAGCTCCAGACCCTCAACGTCGTATGGGTTCGTTCCGAAGTGGGGGTTTCCAAAAACACGGGTACCCTTTTTGGGCATCCGTTAACGGCGCTTCTATTCTATTTGGAGTAGAAAGGGGGTACCCCTATTTTGGGAAATGCCCAACTTGTTAGGGTGCCCAAAGAGAGAAGCCTTCCTACACCACTGACCACACCCAGGCTCGGACAAGAACAAAAGGGTTTAGGGTTTAAACGCTTAGGGTGTGCGTAATGGCTTTGGCAAGGGAACCCAGCCCTAATTCCTAATTCCTAAACCCTAAAGAACAATCACTGAGGGTATCATCTTCAACCCCCTGAACCCCTAAGTCCTCCAGCCGCAACACTTAGACCTTCAAGTCCCTAAACCCCTAAGCCCTTAAGGCTCAAGCCCCTAAGCCCTATAACTCCTCCCCCCTTCAACCACAGCAAAAACGACTCGAGATGTAAGGGTCTAGGGCTTTAGGGCTTGGATGGCTTGGGGTTGAAGGGTCTGGGGTTTTAGGGCCGCCAGGGATATAGTTTTTGGGGCATGAGGCTTCCAGGGTTTAACTTTTTTCTAGGCTCAAGAGTAACCTAGGAACAAAAAGGGTGCCCTTAAGCCCTAAAAAGGGAACAAGGGGCTTGTCCAGCCTCCCGCCACGACGTAGCGGGGCGCGGCGGAGCCGGCGCAGGCGGCAGGGCCGCCTCCGCCCGGGCCCGCAAATAGGGGAGGGGCGGGGAGGGGGGGGGGAGAGCGGGGGTTGACACCGAGATTCATACACTTCGTTGTTTTTAGAGCTGTTGATGATGATGGTTGGTGAGAATGACGAAGATGAAGACGAAGGCGAAGATGAAGATGAGCCAGATGAAGAACGATGAAGAAGAATGATAATGATGATGATGATGATGATGGTGATGATGATGGTGATGATGATGCTGATTCTGGTGGTGCTTGGCGTCGCTTAGAATCAGGCACCAAACCGATCCCCCCCTGCGCAGGGGTTGGAACACCAAATCCTATGCGCCCCTGAGCCGAAAAACAATTTAAAAAAAAGACAACCTCTACCCTAAACCCTGAAACCTATACCCTAAACCCTAGACCCTAAACCTTCTTCCCAAGCTGACCTTTGGTTTTGAGCAACTTGCGAGCCGAACCAGTGGCCAACC